CCCTTATTGCCGGACTTCGACTAGCACAAGGAGTTGGAGCTAAGGAAATAATGGAGACTATGAAGCCAAAGATTCAAGAATGGAAGCGTACCTCGAACTAGTGAAGGATTTATCTAAAAATTTCTCGAAATTCGAATTAATCTGCATACCTCGGGGAGAGAATACAACTGCGGATGCACTTGCCGCATTGGCGTCAACATCAGATCCTGAGTTAAAGAGAGTTATTCCAGTAGAATGCATCTCGGAGCGAAGCATTCAAGACAGCAAGGAAACCCTCGTCGTTACAAGGTCTCGAGCAGCGGCACGCGACCGTGGCGAACCAGAGATCGAACCGCCACCCAACAAACGGAGGAAGTCAAGGGGATCAAATGCATCTAACAAGGAACCCGTTGTCTTAGCTGAAGATGTGATTCCAGAAACAATATTAGAAACCGAACCGTTAGTCGAGGAGGATATTCTTGAGCCAAACGAACATCCCGAACCAGAGCCACGAATATTTCACAAAGTTTACCAAATTCCGGCTAAAGACTGGGGGGCTGACTGGAGGGAGCCAAGAAAGCACTACATCATGACAGGTGAGCTCCCAAAGAATAAATGGCAGGCCAGGAAAATGAAAGTCGTTAGCGCGAAATTTTGTCTGTCAAAGGATGCGTTATATAGACGAGGTGTCAGTGACCCTTACCTATTATGCATTTTTGGGCCCGAAGTCGAAATTGTCATGAGCGAGGTGCATGAAGGATTATGTGGGAGTCATTCATCAGGAAGAGCTATGGCTTTTAAAGTTAAAAGAATGGGGTATTTTTGGCCCACTATGATCACAGATTGTGTTGAGTTCGCCCAGAGATGCAAGCGCTGTCAACTCCATGCACCATTGATCCATCAACCGTCGGAATTATTCTCCTCCATTTCTGCCCCATACCCGTTTATGAGGTGGTCAATGGACATCATTGGACCATTACACAAATCAACTCGAGGTGTACAGTACCTTTTAGTCCTTACGGACTACTTTTCAAAATGGATTGAAGCTGAGGCGTATGTTAGTGTCAAGGATTCGGCGGTGAAGACCTTTATTTGGAAAAACATTATATGTCGACATGGAGTTCCATACGAAATAGTCACTGATAATGGACCACAATTCATTTCACACGAGTTTGATGCCTTTTGTGCGGACTGGGGAATCAAAGTTAGTTATTCTACTCCACGATATCCGCAAGGAAACGGTCAAGCTGAAGCCGCGAACAAGACAATATTAAGCAATCTCAAGAAACGCTTAAGTCATCTAAAGGGAGGATGGTATGAAGAACTCCAACCCGTCCTGTGGGCCTATCGTACAACCCCTAGGCGACCTACAGGAGAAACTCCATTCTCTTTGGTTTATGGCATGGAGGCGGTAGTACCAGCTGAACTCAATGTGCCCGGACTTCGTCGAACAGAAGCACCGTTAAATGAGGAAGAAAATTCAGCAATGCTTAATGATTCACTGGATACCATAAATGAAAGGCGTGATCAAACTCTAATTCGGATCCAGAATTACCAGCAGGCAGCAGCCCGGTATTACAATTCTAAGGTTAAAAGTAGGCCGTTCTTTGTGGGAGATTACGTATTAAGGCGCGTCTTTGACAACAAAAAAGAAGAAGGTGCCGGTAAACTCGGTATTAATTGGGAAGGACCTTACATTATTACCGAAGTGATTCGGAACGGTGTTTACAGGTTGAAAGACTTAGAAGACAATCCAGTCAAGCGACCTTGGAATGTGATCAACCTGAAGAAGTTTTATGTTTAAAACTACATACATTGTTTATGTACATGAACTACGGTGTGGCTTGATCCCGAGATGGGTACGTAGGCAGCTCGAAAACGAGTTCAGCTATTAATAAAAATTTGTTTTATTTCTTTATTAAAGGAAAAAGGTTCGATTGTGCGAACAAGTGAAGCAAATAAAGGTTTGGCTATGCGAATATACAAGAAAATAGAGCGTTATTTAAAATAACGGAATGTCCCTCATCGTACACCTCGGACTAAGAAAACCTTGTTGATGAGCAGAACACTTCAAATCCTCGACCAGCAAGATCGAGGATGGGCATCATGCAGTCCGGAATTCGAGTAAAGTCAGAGATTCCAAGCTCAATCCACTCTCCGGGGTGAGATTCAAGGATGTGAAGATCTCGTGACACCATAGTAAGCCTGCGTTGCATCCGGTTAATCCTCTTCCGAAGTCTCCTCTTTTCCGACATAAGCTTCCGGTGTTGAAGCTCGAGTGCCTCTATGAACGCCGTCGCTGTTCCTTGGTCTCTGATTGGGAGGTCCCTGATCAAAGCACATGGGGCTCGGATCTGAGATCTCAAGAAGCCGCAAAGTGGAGGAGGCTGCCTGCTTGGCTCATTTGGAACATCTTCGTGTATCATTCCGATTCTGGAGAAGTCGGGCATAGATTCTGAACAGCAAAGATTGAACTCCATACCTACTAAAATGAAAAGAATGGTGAGGAGTAAAGGGAAATTGAGACTACAATTTATAGGAACGTCATATCCCTAACAAGCTGCGGATTCTATCCAAGGAATGGAGTGATTCGCGGAGAGATTTATGCCCTCGAACAGATCCTGCATTAAAAGACGCATCTCCGAGAATATTTGAAAAGAAAGGAAAGTTGCAAATATTTCCATAGATAAAAGGGGCTGAAGCCCATTACGAGTTTAAAATAAGGGAAGAAGCTAAAGAACATTTATGGAAGAGGCTCAGGAACAGGCTCCTTCATCGCCGGTTTAGTCTTCGAAGTGGACGCCTTGTTCTTGGCATCCACTTCGGGACGATCCCGAATGCGTTTCCAACAGGTGCTGGCCTCCTCCTCGTCTTCTTCCTCGCTATCGGATGGAACGGTATGGACCGGAGCATTCACAGGACCCGGAATTCCTTTAGCACGGAGATACATCCGAAGCATCTTCGGGATCTCAGCAACAGAATCGAAGTTCCGCCATTCCCATTGAAAGGGATCACTTTCCAAAGCCCGTATCTTCCTCTCCACCCGAGCAATGCGAGCCTCGAGCGTTTGCCTTTTGAGGCCCAGCCGTTGCCTCTCTTCACACAAGCGACGGTGTTTGTCGGCAACCTAACATAAAGATGAATGAATAAAATGAAACAAAAAGTTTTTATTCAAAGACGACAGATATAAACCTTGTCAATAAAGTCGCAAGCCTCTTTCTTCTCCTTCGAAGGAAAGTGAAAGACGGCGTGAGGGAAAAGAACGCCGGCCGGTTCAAAGCCGTCGCCGGACAAGAAAAGTGGGCTGCCGGGATCGATGGGGGCTACTTTTTCGTTTTCCATTCTCGAAATATTTCTCAAGTAAGATTCTAAAATCGTGTTTAAATAAAGCTTAGAAGTAGGTAAGCCTTTATTAATAATGATTTAGGGTTTCTCTTGGAACCATAAACCCAATAATGGTAGTGTGTCCGAGTGGTTTAAACCATTTTTGGAAATCGAGAAAAGGCAGTTATTGCATTAAAGACGAGCCGTTTTCCTTACTTATAAGAAGGGAAAGCGCAACCGTCGCATTAACTACAAAAGTTTCTAAGGCCCAAGCCCTATAAGTTTATCGAGTTGACTAAACCCGAAGTGGGGAACTCGCTTTAAGCCGAGCTCAGTTCTCGCATTCTAAAGAGAAAGGTCTGATCAGCCTAAAAATCTCAAAAGCATAACCACAAGGCCACAAAAGGTTAAAAGCGGACTTTGCAAACCCGCATATAAATTTTAACCAAACTCCCTTGGGATCATAACCTAAAAAGGTTCAAAAGCCTCCTCAGGCAAATATTTTGTTCAAAAGAAACAATAAAGCCTCCTTAGGCCAAAAATAAGTTCGAAATTAAGTCTTAAAATTAAAGGGACAATCCCCAATTTAAAGTGGACACAGCCACTACGGAGTGATCTCCACCTCGGACTCCGGCTCAGCAACCAAAGTTTCATTCACCTCCTTCACTACAGGAAATGTGGGTATTAATAGCGGCCGAAAAACGCAATTATTCATCTACCATAGCGTTTCCTTAAGCGCTCTGACATCGCCCGTTATAGAAAGTCGGACACTTTTGATAGCGGTTTTTAGTTGTGCAATAGTTAAGTATACAACGATAGCGTTGTCTTTTGTGCAATTGTTAATGTTTATAATAGCGTGATAAAGATGTTATTAAAACTCGTTAATTAGATTTTACCTATAGCAAAGATAGCATCTGTTTTGTGTTATTAGTTTGTTTTTAAATTATTCAAAATAATAAATAATTACGAATTATATTTTAATTTAAATATAATATTTGTAAAAAAAAATTAATTTCGAATATTTGTAAAAACAAAAATACCATTAAAATGTTTAATAACCCATTTCAATTTTCATTGTTTACAAAAACCACAAACATACCTATCAATCTACCACTAACAAGCCTTCACAATCATCCCTAACATAAACACTATCATCATCAAAAGCTTCATCATCCAAATCATCGACTTCTTGTACAGGCAAAGGTGCACCACCTAAATCCTTTTCTGTTTCCAATTCATGATAGCCTCTAGGTGGTGCTCTCATAACAACATACCAATTTGAATTATCATCTTCCCTAGAATAGAAAACCTGTTTTGCTTGAGAAGGTAGAATGAATGGATCTTTCAAATAGGCTGTTTGGTTCATATGAAGGTTAACAAGAGTGAAACCATCTTCCTCCTTCACACCATTCCCTGTGTTGGCCCAATTGCATCTAAACAGCGGCACTTTGAACATGTCATAGTCCATAAGTAAAATCTCCTTTATCACTCCATAATATGTAAGCACATTAGCGACTTGTCTCATATCTCGAGCACTTGATCTACACATGCTAAATGCTTCATAAGTTATGCCACTGTTTTGTGTCTTCCGCTTAACCGCATCTGTATGAAACCGTTGCCCATTAACGATAAATCCTTTATGTGCTAAAGCAACATTTCTTGGTCCAAATGCCAACCACCTGATCTCCTTAGAATGACTATTCCTTGAGTCTGAATGAATCTGCAACAGCAAAACATGATCAGGAAGCTAACAATTAATCTGTGCCAAAAAAACCAGACATCAAGCTACAAGCTAAGCTAACCAGTCATTAAGCAAAACGTGATCATGAAGCTAACAATTCTGTGCCAAGAAAACCAGACATTAAGCTACAAGCTAAGCTAACCAGTCATTAAGCAAAACATGATCATGAAGCTAACAATTCTGTGCCAAGAAAACCAGACATCAAGCTACAAGCTAAGCTAACCAGTCATTAAGCAAAACATGATCATGAAGCTAACAATTCTGTGCCAAGAAAACCAGACATCAAGCTAACCAGTCAATTTAACAAGCTGTATAACAAATAATCAAGAAGACAAGTTGCAGCTGTAAACCTTTTTTTTAAGCCATTGTGCAAACTGCTCAGTATGGTTTTTCCATAACAAAGTTTCACTTTTAGCACATCGAGCATCATTAGCTTGTAATTCTTCCAAATGCATCCTGATTTTACATTAAACAACAGTCTTGAGAATGAAATTATAATCATAATTAGTAGATGAGACATAAAGGGTAACCTCTTACTCTACATAAGGATCCAAAGATGCCATGTTCATTAGCACATAGCGATGTGCATTGTCTCTATCTTTATCTGATAGGGTAACTTCTATACCCTTCTGCAGAGGTCGACCTTCAACCACGCTTCTATCAGCCTCAATATCTTCACTGCGATTAACTGTTTCTTGAACTGGTACTGAATCTTTAAGGAACTCTAAACAAAATGCAACGCATTCTCCAGCTAAATACCCCTCAGCCATACATGCTTCTGGCCTTGCATGATTCTTAACAAAAGCCTTAAGTGTTTTCATGTACCTATAACTCAGTCAAGAAATGAATATTAGTCCAATATCATTGCAGTAAATACATATATTGAATCAAATGAGTACATATATCAAACCTTTCAAATGGATACATCCAGCGAAAGTGTACTGGTCCTCCCAAACGTGTTTCTTTTGATAGATGTATTGGAAGGTGGAACATGATATCAAAAAGGGATGGAGGGAAGAAGCGCTCCAGTTGACACATTGTTTCCACAAACTCTGTCTCCAGCTTCTCTCTGATGTAGGCCTCCAGAGAGAAGCTGTTGAGCTTAGTACAGAACTAACAATGACAGCCACTGCATTAGGACCAATTGGTACACGACCAATTTTGTACATCGGTTCATCAGAACAGAATTCTCCTTCACCAACAACTACTTCTCTTGAATGAATCCAATCCAGTAGTTGTACTCTATCTCCTACTTTGAATACACCACTACTCTCACATGTTTCAGTCTCACAATAACTTTTCTGAGATAAGGAAAAGGAATTTTGTTAATGTCTTAAAACCAGACCAATTGACTAAATGTAATGAAAAGGATTACCTTCTTTCCAGCTAAGTCTCTAAACATTCCCTTCAACTCATCAATCTCACTTTTCATTTCTGCCATTTTTGCGTCTCTAGCTTGCATAAACGCTAACTTAGTAGCCGTGATCCCTCTACCAAACCCCCTTACTCGTCCAGGTTTGTCTTTTCCCAAAATCTGGCTCACAGCATCTTCCCTTATGTTATCAGCAGCTGATGTAGAGTCCATTTCACTATCAAGTGATTGTATTTGTTTCTGAGACAAACATTCAAACACAATATTAAAACTCATTGATCATGATGCATTACTTACACACAATATAACAAGTTCCAGAATTCTTACAATAGTCTCAGCAAATTGAGGCTTCACAGGTCTACCATCAGCATGAGTGTGTCCCGCTAACCATACCTTAGTCCTAGTCACCTTACTTGGGTTTGAACTCTTTTTTTTCTATATAAAGTACATATACATATCTCAGTACCATTTTATGCTAACAAGATATACAATATATATAGATATTGACAACTATTATTACCATATCATCAGCTAAACGAACCAATCCTTTGCGGCTGGAGGTTTGAGGAATCTGATCATGTCTCAACTTCCTCATCTTGTTACTTACTTCCTACATTATAAATATGAGTGTGATTAAATCTATAAGACATGACATATAAACATATAAACTTCATACTAACCGTAAAAGCTTTGCTAGTCTTGCTCTTAACCCAAGAGTTCCACACTTGAATGGATGGGATGTTGCTGGGTTTTAAAGCTAGTATATCAGCAGCTGTCTCAGCAGCACGTACTTTTGTCACTAGCCTTGACTTCATACCCCTAAAGATATTACACATTTGCTTCATAATAACAGCTTTTTTCCATTCTTCTTCCATGTCAAACCTCCCCTGCATCAAGTACAACAAGCAAAGGTCAAACATGTTCCATATCTGTTAAACAAAAAATTAGTTGCATATATATAAATATATACCTGAATTTGTTCCCACAATGTTTCTTTAGTCGCTGCATCAACTTCTCTCCAATCAGAAATTGTAACCGGAATGAATTGACTCACGAGAACACCAAGAAAAGATGATAATCTTACTGAACCAGTTCCAACATGATCACCAAAGTCAGTGAAAGAAACTGAAACCCTTTCATTAGGATTTTCAGCCACTTTACGCATCTTTGTTGGTCCTCTTTTTCTTCTTACTTTCACTCTTTCTTCTGGTACCTGACTTCCTTCATCAGTGTTGGTAGGAATCGCTTTATCTTGACCATTGCCAACACCATCTTCTTCCATATTGGCAACTTCTTCATTATTCGCAGCTACTTCCATAGTGGCAGCTTCTTCTTGATGATACTCCTGCTGGTCCTGTCCAGTCAAACAAGCTTCTTCTTCTATATTGGCAACTTCTTCTTCATCCTCCTCCTGGCCTTGTCCAGTCAAACATCCTTCTCCTTCATTCTCATCTTCACACATTGCTTTCTCAGTCTGATCAGCCTCCGGTGTTATATCTTTGTCATTACCCTTTTCTTCTTCCACAGCTTCTGGTGTTACATCTTCTACCTCATCATCTACAGCAGCCACTTTCGGTGTAACATCTTCTACCTCATCATCTACAGCAGCCACTTTCTTGGCTCTAGTACTACTTCTTCTCCGAGCCACTTTATTTGTTGTTTTCTTCTTATTCACCTTCTTATTAACCTTTAGTGTTGTTGCAGGAGCAACATCTTCTACCTCCAAGCCTTGATTACGCCTACTACGACGAGCACAAACTTGACCTCCTCCTCTTGTCTTTGCCATTTTCTGAAACTGATGAAGAACAGTTTCAATCAACATAAAATCGAAACCAAAAATCATAATCAAAACCCAAACTTCGAATTAAAACCCAAAATCAAAATCGATTTCACAATTGAAACAATATATGTGCCAGACTTCGACATGCATGTTAACTAAGTGTAAGAATGAAAACCCAAAATCAAAATCGATTTTGAATTTGGAATTCAAAATCGATTTCACACAACCCCAAATCAAATTGGTTTTCCAGAGAACAAAGAAATTAAATGGCTCAGATCGAATGAGAACATACCTGTTCGAGATCGATAGAAACCGACTTAGATCGAGAGGGAGATGAGTTGAAGATTTTTTTTGTTCTCTGTTAGAGAAGTCGAGTGAAGTCGAGAGAAGAAGTTAGATTTTTTTTTTGCTTTAGGGAAAAAATGAAAAAGTTTTCTTTAATTTTGCCTTAGACAAAATTTCACAATTTTCCCTCTTAACATTTTCAATAGCGGGAAAGAGACTTTAGTAACCCGAAAATTGGCCGCGTGAATTGCATATATCTCGCTTCAATCATTTATAGCGTTTACAATTCAGAAAACGCTATCTATTAAGTAAAACATAGCAGAGACATAAAAAACGCTATCTTTTAGTGCTATCAATACCCACATTTCCTGTAGTGCTTGACTGGTGCTTGATCAGATGAAGCTCCCTGACCACCCTCCGCGGTACAACCAACCTCCGGAGTGACCTCCGGTACCATAGTAGCTACGGGCGGGACAACGTCTTCCGTTTCACTTGAACCTAGAAATAATAATTCCAGTCAATCAAAGGTACAAGGCAAGAAAAGGTAAGCCTCAGGAGCCAAGCGTTACCTGCCCAGTCTAAACCCGATTCACTTATAGGAGGTGATTCAGTAAAGAATTCCTCGAAGTCAAGCGGGTTGAAGGTAGAAGTGGGAAGAGCTGCCAAGCGACTCCGTTTTTCAGAAAGATTAGTTGACAGCTCCGTCCTTTCTTGCTCCTCGGAGAAATCTGTTTCATGGATTTGATCCAGCAGAATCAGGTTGCTTTCATGCTCCTTGATGTCCGACTCCAAGTCCGACCTAGCCTTCTCGGTTTGCATGAAGCGAATGGCCCCTTGGATCAATTCCATCCCGCGTTCCTTAACCTCCTTTCTGGCCTTCGATGCCGACATTGCCAACTCAGAATCACGCAACTTGGCTAGCGCCTTGTACTTCGCGTCAAGCTCGATAAGTTGGTTGTTCAGGGTATCGGCGGTTGATTCGGATTCATGAAGTCTACCCTGAACACCAGAAAGTTCGTCCTGGAGTTTGTAATTCCGGTCGTAGTAGTCTTGCAGCTCCCCCTTTACCTGCGCCAGCTCGGATGTTAACCTGTCGACCTTATCCTCCAGATCGTGCTTGGAGCCAGCAGAAGAATTGAGTTCAGCCTCAAGAACTGAGAATTTCTTCTTCCACATGTCAATCTCCTTCTCCCGTCCAATGACCAACCCTTCGTAATGTTCGATCATATCGTTAAGTTCGCTATGGGCCTGGCATTATAAACCCGGGATGGCAAGTCAGTTTGAAGAATGGCAATACATAAAAAAAACAACAAAAAAAAAAAAAAAAAAACGGAACTAACCCGAGATGAATGATAAGCGTGAAGCAAATAGCGTTCATGAATCGCAGGGTGCCATTTGTTGAAATCTGGCAAGATCGAACCCGATCGGGTCTTGAAGCATCGGAAGACGCTGCCTTCTTTCTCCATAGCTGCGAAGAAGGAAGAATTGTAAAAATTGGAATTTTAATAGAGACAATCAGTTTAAGTATGTGTAAATCACCAAACCTGAAAGCGATTTGACTTGAGGGACAAGAGCAGGCTTCAACCTCGAGGAAGCATCTCGAGATTCAGAATCTCCACTTTTAGGGGATGCACTCCGAGCAGTCTTTTCGCTGACGGGCTGGGAAGAAGAAGACATGTCAACAGGTCGGGGAGGACCCATTGGTTCAGTAGGAGGGGATGATCGAGGTGAACGGTCAGTCCGGGCCCTTGATTTCTCCCTTCGCGGAGAAGAGTCATCACGGGACGATTTGTCCCTCTTCTTACGAACCAAATTCTTAAGTGGTTCGTTGCTGAAATCGTCTCGGGAAGGACGAGGAGAATCACGACGAGGAGACCGCTCTCTCCGAGGAGAACGCTCGTCGCAGCGTTCGCGAAGAGGTGTTAACCTATAAGCGGCAACGGATCTGACTCCCTCGGAGCTGTTGTCATCAACCAGCAGGGTCCTGCTGTAATCTTTTTTGTCGATGGCGGTCGCAAGGAACGCCTTATTTTCATCACAAGCCTCTGCTATCGGCTTGGAGAGTTTCTTACGCTGGGCAGCGAGGGCCCGAGCTGACATTCCCTGAGTTGAGGGAGGAGGCGGAAGACGATGAAGTAGATTGGGAGGACTCATCCTGAGTTTCCGGTTGGCCTCGACAAACCGGTCGAGGGTGAAAGAATTCCAAAGGGTTTCCCCTTCACGGATTGTTTTAAAGAACTTGACAAATTCTTCAGTCGGGAGAGTTGAAGCGATGAAAGCTGCGAAATGAAACAACGAATTCGGTCAGTAAAAAATAATAATGAACAATAAAGGAATATACGACCTAGTCTCTACCAAGTTTCGCAGACCACTTCGATGGGAGTACATCGGAAAGATTCCCAATCGAAGCAGGAGTTTTCTTAATCAGAAACCAAGGATGGTGCCAGTTCTCATCCTTGTTCGCGAGGTGCGAGATGACGTTTCTATTAGCATTTGGATACGCCGAGAAGTACCCAGTTTTCTTTGATGAACTCCTTACGCTTAGGAGTTCATTCAGCTCGGGGACTCCAATGACGTAGCCAGCCTCCGCCGCAACGGTTATAATCCCGAGGATGGTTCGGAGGAGATTGGGGGTTAATTGAGGTAAAGCGATCTCGAGGGCCGCCAAGAATCAAACTAGGGCTTTGGGAAGGGGGAAGATCAATCCGCAGCCCTTGAAGTAAATTTCGTAAACACAAAAGTAGCCGACACGGTGGTTCTCCGGGGATTCCGTAGGGTCGGCTATTTGCGCCTCCGCTATAATTCCAGGAGGAATTTGACAAAGCCCCTTCAATCGCTCAAGGGATTGAAGAGTACAGGTTGATTTGTAATGAGGACCGGCGATATCGTTAGGACGAGTGCATTCGTCATTACTAGAACGCCTCTCGTCGTAAGACGGAGATTCAGGTCTTTCAGAATCAGAAGTCATCGGATAAAAATGAAAAATTCAAGATCCGGCGAAGGGAGGTTCAGTGAAGAAAAGTAGAGAGAAGTTTTGATTAAAGCACAAAAGTAAAAGAAGGAAGTAATGGTGAAAAGAAGTTACCTCACACAAACTAATGATGAAACCGCCTTGGAAGTTGTGTGGGAAGTGGGAAGGTTTTTTCCCGTTTTAATAGTAATTAATTAATATACGGTCATAATGATGACAGATGTCAATCGGGTAAAAATGGCTAGTGCCGAAATTAAAGGAGTGACGAGATTTTCGGCGGGAAGTCAGAAAGATTCTCGAGCGCAATCTTTGGTCATTTAAAGCATTTAAAGTCCTCCGAATTGGAATGACACTTCGAAGAACTTGGGGGGCTAATTGTTGGTGTCGGATCCCGCACCAGAAGTCCGAGACCAACTAAAGATTGCCACGTAGTCAAGATAATGGCCCATAAAGGATGAAGCCCATTGGACCCATGAGCCGAAGGAACGGTCGAAGTGGTTGTCACCACTTCGAGAATCCGAAGTGACTGCATTGTGACATGAGTTCGGAGTAGAAGACACGGGTAAGTCGGTTCAAGGACACTTGGGCCGAAAAGGCGAGGCCCACGAAGATCAGAGTCAACTCAAATTCAAACGTTGAGCATCAAAGTCGAAGAATCAAAACGGACACATTTAAGAAGGAATAATTGTACTTAATTATTTGTTTTAATGTCATTTCTCTATGTATAAATATAAAGGCCAATGGCCATGTAAAGGGATCTTCCTCTCAAGAAAGAAATACTATAGCAATTCTCGTAGCAATTTATAAGTTTTACATATTCATTTTTGTCCCTCAAGAATAATCTTTCCTACTTAATAAAATACTTGAGTGTGTGAATCCGACATCCACACTTTCTCCCACCAATAATTCATAAGCAAGGTTTCGATCTCATTTACCACACCAAGAGGTAATTTGAAACATGACATTGCATAAACGGGCATAGCTAGAGCTACGAATTTCATGATTATTTGTAAACATTTCCTTGTAAATCACGTATGGAGGTGATCTTATTTCTTGCCACTCTCACCTTGGTACAGGCATGGAAATAACCTGTATTTCTGTCTCCTTCTTACATCCAATGATTACGGCTTTTTAATTTCCAATAAGTTTCTTCATCTTTGTAAGCTTGAGCTAGCTCCTCTTGAAGACTTTAAAGTCGACTTCTTACTGATCGTGAAGTACTAGACATGGTTCTATTAAGTTCAGCTTGGAAATATTTGATTCTTAAATCTGCATTTAAGGTAGATACATGTCTTAATCTCGCCATGGCATGTCTCGTCGTTCTTACTTGATCCGTGATAGAAGTATCACCGTTGTTTGTGTTAACACTCCAACCGGCTTTTACCCCTTGTTTGAAGTCCCCAAGATCCATCATACGCTTATCAAATCGGAAGGGCTTTCTTCTCGATGTTTCAACCACGTCCATATTGATGAGAACTGGTTTATGATCTGACCCCGTGAATTCGAGAAACTCACATTCAGCATTTAGAAAGTCGACTGCCCATTCTGTGTTGATGATAGCTCGATCTAAACAGCATTTTACTCTGTGTGAATGGCGTTCCCCAACCCAAGAAAATCGATCACCTCTCGCACTCAAGTCTCTAAAATCGCAGGAACTATACATATGACGAAAAGCACGAAAAGTCCATTCTGCTCGTTGAGGACCACCAATCTTCTCTGAATTATTGAGGATTTCATTGAAATCACCAATAAGTAACCATGCCTCGTTGCGTGTTTGATTAATGGTTTCAATACGATCCCAAAGGAAATGACGATCGCTTTGTATTGGATTACCATACACGCAAGACAAATAGAACCCAATATTATTATTAGTTATATGTACATCGATAAGGCGTTCATCTTGAAAGTTCTTAGATAAACGCACATTATCCTTCCACAACAAGGCTAAGCCACCGCTTCTACCTTGAGGGGGTTGAGTTATTACATTAGAGAATCCTAACATACAAGCCACATTATGTACAACATCACACTTATTTAGAGTTTCAATAAGGAAAAGAACATCACACTTAGTTATACGACATAAACGGA